AACAAATAATGTTTATTAGTGTATCTTCTTGAATAGCTTTTCTAGTAATTGCTATAGTGGGCCTTATGTTATATATACATATACATAATACAGCACAGTCTGTTGATGTCATTTTACCAGTTTGAGTAAAGTGTTGAAATCTTACCTACCTTTACCTTCTTTTATCCTCCCCATTTATAATTTGCCTTAAATTTCTGTATTTACATTTAGAAACATCAGTGTTGTCATTTTGCTTCAATCATTATATATAATTTAGAAACTTCAAAAGAAGGACAGCCTGTTGATTTTTATTAATACAGTGTTTTTTTCCTTCTTTCTTGGTGTTCTAAAATTTCTTCTCTTTAACATCCTTTCTTTTCAGAGAACTTTGTTTAGCTGTTCTTTAGCATAGGGCTGCTGATGACAGATCCTCCTTAGTTCTCCATCGTCAGAAAATATGTTTATTTTCTGCTCATTTTTGAATGATGTTTTCACTGGGTAAAGGATTCTGGATTGGTAGTTTCTTTCAGAACTTAAAAATTATTATGCCACTTTCTTTTGGCCTCCATGGTTTCTGATGAAAAATTTGCTATCTGAATTATTTTTCCTCTCTTAAGTGTCATTTTTCTCCAGCTACTTTCAAAACTTTGTCTTTAATTTTTTTATGTTTAATTGTGATGTGTGTTGAAATGAGTTTCTTTAGGTTTGTCCTTTAAGGGTTGCTCAGCTTCTTGAATCCATAGGTTACATCTGTCACCAAATTTGGAAAGTTAGATGTTATTTTTCAGCTTTGCCTTCTCCCCGCCCCCAGGACTCTAATGACACAAATACTAGCTCTTTTGTTAGTTACACAAGTCCCTGAGCATCTCTTGATTTTTTTTTTTCCCTATTCATTCTCTTCCCCTGTCTGTTTTCTCTTCAGTTAGTCAGTTCAGTTGCTCAGTCGTGTATGACTCTTTGTGACCCCCATGGACTGCAGCACTCAAGGCTTCCCTGTCCATCACCAACTCCCGGAGCCTGCTCAAACTCATGTCCATTGAGTCAGTGATGCCATCCAGCCATCTCATCCTCTGTCATCCCCTTCTCCTCCTGCCTTCAGTCTTTCCCAGTGAGTCAGCACTTCACTTCAGGTGGCCAAAATACTGGAGCTTCAACTTTAGCATCAGTCCTTCCAATGAATATTCAGGACTGATTTTCTTTAGGATTGACTGGTTTGATATCCTTGCAGTCCAAGGGACTCTCAAGAGTCTTCTCCAACACCACAGTTCAAAAGAATCAATTCTTCGGCACTCAGCCTTCTTTATGGTCCGACTCTCACATCCATACATGACTATTGTTAAAACCATAGCTTTGACTAGATGAACCTTTGTCAGCAAAGTAATGTCTCTCTATCTTTTAATATACTGTCTAGGTTTGTCATAGCTTTTCTTCCAAGGAGCAAGCATCTTTTGATTTCATGGCTGCAGTCACCATCTGCAGTGATTTTGGAGCCCGAGAAAATAAAGCCTGTCACTGTTTCCACTTTTTCCCCATCTATTTGCCATGAAGTGATGGGACTGGATCACAGATGTTTTCTCTTAGGATTAGGTAATTTGTAGTGTTCTTTCATTTCACGGATTCTTTCCTTTGTTCCCTCCTTTCTGCTGTTGAGCCTATCCACTTAACTTTTAATTTGAATTTGTATTTTAAGTTCTAAGATTTCTATTCAATTCTTCTTTATATTTCCTACATATTTGCTGACACTATTTTTGCTGAGGCTATTTTTTCATTTGTTTCAACTGTGATAGTAATTGCTTGTTGAAGCATTTTTACCATCCCTGGGTCAGGAAGATCCTCTGGAGAAGGGAATGGCAATCCACTCCAGTATTCTTGCCTGGAGAATCCATGGACTGAGGAGCCTGGTGGGCTACAGTCCATGGGGTAACAAAGCCTCAGACATGACTGTTTATTACTATTTTTACCATACTCATTTTAAAAATCTTTATCAGATAATTCTAACATTTGTGTCATTTCATTGTTAGCATCTATTGATTGTTATTTTTCTCAAATTTAAAATCTCCCTGATTCTTAGTATGATGAGTGATTTTTAAAAAAAATTTGAAGCCTGGACATTTTTGTATTCTGTGATATTGGCCCTTATTTAAACCTGTTTTATATAGTTTTCATGATACCACTTTAGAAGAGTGGTATCAATAAGAGCACTACCTTGTTATTACTCAGTAGAGATAGAATTCCAGGTTCCCCACTAAGCCTATTTTGACATTTGAGGTAGGACTTCTTACTGCTGGATATTGGATGGGAATTACTTTTCCACACATGGTCTCCATTGACACTTGGGAGGGACAGGTCCGCATTTCTGACCGCTGGAAATGAAAATTCCAAGACCCTATTTGGCCTTCTCTGACACCATCCCAGGAGGGGTTTTGAGCTACTTTGTTACAGCCTTGCAAAGCCAGATATTTAGGTTCCCCACTCAGCCTTTGCTGACAGAGTAAAGGTTGGGTCACAGTTTTCCTCTGGTGTTTGGCTCAGGTAGAGTAGTAGTATTTAAGAATTCTCCTGTCCTGGTAACCTGTTCTCCTTCCTGGTCCTTTGTCTAGAGAGACTAACCCTTTTGGAAAAGGAAACCCAGGAGAACTCATCCCCATAAACTCTTCAGATCCTGAAGTCTTCATCTGGTCTGCCTTTTTCTCTCTACCTTTCAGAATATTCTTATGTTTGTTTTATGTATGATGTCTAGAACTTTTAGTTGTGCTTAGCAGGAGGAATATGGGAAAGTACATCTATTCCATTGTCCTGGAAGCAGAAGTAGTATATGCCATTTAATAAGAACATTTTGTAAAATAAATTAATGGAGAATGGAGGACTTTCCTATTTGATAATTAAAATGTGCTATTAAAAAACACTTGAGCTGGAAAATATATTAATACACAATAAAAGTATAGAAAGATCAATTGCTTGTAGACACCCAAAAATTTAGTAAAGAGAGTCATTTCAGATAAGTGAGGAAAGGAGGGATTAACCAGCAAATGATATTAGAATAATTAGCTAACCATTTACAAGAAGATAATCAGTGTCCTGCCTTATGCCAGGTAGGCAAAAGTAATAAATTTCAGATGGATTGAAAATCTAAATGAGAAACACAAAAGTATTATAAGGATGTAAATTCAAAGGTGGGGAGCTTTTCTAAGCAAGACAGAAATCCAGGAATTATTTAGGAAAACATTGAGAAATTTAAAAACATAAAATTGTAAAATGTTATATATTTAAAGGCTGATGTAGGTGATGGAAAATATTTGTAATACATAATAAGCATGCATTATCCTCTATAAATTGATGTCCTTTAATATCTTTTATATACCAATAGATAATATCTTTTATATACTGATAGATCCTGTAAATTCTTTAGAAAAAGATATATTATTAAGTATAAAAATATCAAAGATATGTCAACTCATTGATTTCAGAGGACTAATGTAAAAACACATAATAAGAATTAAATACTGTACCATTTTTGTTTGTCAGTTTTGGTGAAATTACAAAGTATAATATCAAGTCCTGGTGAGGGAGATAGGTACTCTCATATCCTGTTAGTGGGAGCAGAAATTTTAGCAACCTTTTTGGAATGTAATTTAACAGTATCCATCTTAATTTTAAGTGCTTATTATATTCCTGGATACAGTGAATTTCATCTGTAGGAATCTGTCCTAAAAAGCAGAAGAGAATTTAAAGTTGTATGTGTAAATGTTTTATATGCTTATATTAGTAATTATAAATACATTTGCTTATTTGTAATAGTAGATAATTAGTAATAGTAAATAGAAACAACATAAATGTCAGTCAACTTGGGGAATAGTTGAATAAGTTATGATATATTCATACAATATGAGGTTATAAAAAAAGGGATGAGGCATCTGTCTTGAGAGAGTGTGTGTGTGTGTGTGTGTGTGTGTGTGTATGGATATCTTTGATATGTATTTAAATGATAAAAGCAACTTGCAGGTCAGAATTCTATTTTCATTACGAAAAGTGCCTCCTCCCCCATCAACACACGTGTCATCTAATGTTGGCCATCTCCGTTGGTTGGCAGGAGACTCTTGCACTAAAGGCTCCCATGTTTCCTTTCCATTGCATCATTTTTCTCTCCAGATTTGGTTCATTTTCAGCCTGGAGAAATATCTCTTCTGCTTGGCCACCGTGAAGTTGCTCTTAATTTTTTTCTTTTAATATCTGGTTTCACTTTACCCATACCCAGCTTCTCATTTGTAATCTGTTCTGTATACTTCCTGTATGCTACATTTTCAGGGATTTGATTTGTCTGAAAACATCAAGAATCTTTGTATACAGTATTTTTGGCCTGTCTTGTGGACTCGCACATACGGTTAGTTCCAAAAGGCCAGTGGTCATCTTCAACAAACGATCTGTAATCAAATGTGCCCATTTTTGATCAGAGAGATAGATGTATATAATCTGAGGGGAAAAATAAGAAATAAACTGAACTCAGCTGTTAAAAATGGTTGCTTCTGGGGTATAAGATTGAATTGATAGGAGAGAGGAAGGATTAAAAAGAGGAGCCATAACAAAGGACTTAGAGTTTTACTCTATGTAAAGTATTTTTGAATATTGGACTTCAGGTGATTTTTAATTTTCAGGTTGTCCTGCATTTTCTAAATAAAATAAATTCAGAGGAGCTAAGTTATATATATTTGTTGCGTGAATGAAGTATGTAAACCTATTTGTATCTTTTAGATGAATGTCACTATTACAAGCTTTTAGAAGTGGAGGCTGCAGAATATAGTGCCCGCTCTTCCAAACTGTATGAAGTTGGGGAAACTGAAGTAGGGAAATCTTTTTCCAGAGTAAGAATTCAAGAAAAGCAATCTAGAATGAGCATTCGAGTTTTTTAGCAAACTACTGAGATATCATCCATAGCTTCAGCCTTTCTTCTAGCTAGTTTGATAGTGATGATGATAAACAAGGACAGTCTTTCTAAAGTCTGCATTTCTGTTTTTCTCTGACAGAAATGACATCAGATGTACCACCTCTGGGTCCGGCCATTGCCTCTGGAAATGCTGGGCCTGGGATTCAAGGTGGAGGAGCCATCGTCCAGAGGGCTATTAAGCGGCGACCAGGGTAAGTTTGAGTGTAGTGTGTCATGAACGCTTCTCCTTTAAACCACCTAATTTTGTTAGTTACTAAACCCCTTTTCCTAACCCTCTTGCTTCTTCTGGCTGCTTATTACACTTCTTTCAGATAACTTTATTTAGTCCCTGGATTTTTCTTTGTGTGGAATTGATGTTTTTATCTAAGTTGCTAGAGGCAGTTTTATTTTTTTTTAAACCAAAAATCTATGCAAGGTAAAGGACTGTAGCTAAGCCCAAAGATTTCACTGTTGCTGAGAAAATTTCGCTGCTTTCATTAAGCTTTGTATCTCCATTCTCAGAATCTTTTTGGTAGGCTTTTTACTTTCCTGAATTTAGACAATGCTGAAATCTAGAATATTTTCCCTTTAAGTTATTGATATGTTGCCTCATTGGGAATCCAGAGTCCATTTGGTTCCAGAATTATTTATTAAATGCCTAATTAGTGTAAGGCATTGTGTGATTGCTTCTAGAATACAAAGGTAAATAAGGCATAGTCCTTGTCTCTAAGTTGCTTATGTTCTTAAAGGGATAATCATCACACACATAAATGTAATTCAATATAGAATACGCCAGGTTTGGTAAGAAAGGAACAAATACAGTGCTGTGTATTTCACTGTATAGAAATATCACCATTGGTTGGTAGAGGTTGGGAAAGGCTTCAGAAAAGAGGTTGCTTTAGAGAGGCCTGGGAGAATGGGTAGTATTTTACCTACTTTAAATTTTCTATTTTTTTCTTTCTTTTGTTTTAAAAAATTCTGTAGCTAATGATACACCTAGTCTTTAAGTTTCCTCCTACCTATAGTAATGCAGGAGTGTTCTCTGCCTTAAGATGGTAACAGAATAACATATTAAGGCTTTTTGTGTCTCCAAGAAGTAATTAGTTTACTGAGGCATAGGGTGAATAAGTAATTTACCCAAAGTTTTAAAGCTAGTAAGTGGAGGATCTATAATGTAAACCTTGAGAGATTAGCTTTAGAGTCTACTCTCTTAAACACAGTGTTAAGATTATGTATAATCTTAACAATTAGAATCAGAATCAGTATTAATATCAAAATTAAGAGATTGGCTGAGAAAGTTATATTGAAAGTGTACAGCTATTAGAAGTGGCAAATAGGTATTAGTACAGAAAAATGTTCATAATATATTGAGAAATGAGGTTACAGTATATGTAATATATCAACTCCTATCAGAAAAACATATGTATATAACACATGCATAGCCAAAAAACTGAAAGGATACTTATCAGTTAGTCTGGATGATGGGATTATGGGTGATTTATTTTTTCTTTTGTTTTTAATTATTTCTACATTTTCTGAAGTGTTTGTATTACTGGTAAGGAGGAAAATATATTAAAAGAAATAATACATTTTTTAAAAGAAATATTAGAAAATGTAGAAAGTTAGAAGACTAGTAGTAAAGCAATCATCTTACTACCCAAATTTATCTCCCATTAGTTTTTTTGCATAATTACTTCATTCTTTATATCTAGTTATAATCATATATTTGTTTTTGTAACCTAGTCTTTTGATCTAATTGTGTAAAATAACTCTTTTTCCCATACTGTTACATATTATATAGAAACATAATTTAAAATAGTTACATAGAAGGATGTACTTAATTTCTATTTTGGGAAGTTAAAATAGTTTTGAAGATATACTATTACATTGTAATGCTTAATGAGTATCTTTGTACATAAATTTTTTCTGAGTTGTTTCTTTAGGATAGAGTCTTAGACATGAAGTTATTGGGTCAGTAGGTTGATTTTGACATGTGATCTGGGGCTACAGGGAGGAAGAAAAATGGGCACTTTCAGGATTAATGCTATGTACTTCATATATAATCCATTTAGAGGCCTATAATATCAGGTTATCACTCTAATGGAGATGCCAAGATCACTGGGTTAAGGTGGTAACATGAGTTACATTTTAATTTAGTATAGAGATTAATAGGAGATTGCCTCTCTCATTACCTATAATCTTGCCTAATCCCTTGAAATGAAGGTCGCCTCTTTTTCCACTGAGCATCTATAGCTTATTGATTGTGCTCCTCATGATGCTTTCTCATTTTCACTTATATATTTATGTTTGTCTAGGAGAAGAAGCCTTTGAGGGCAAATCTTTTGTTTTCAACTCATCTAGTACACTATCTGGAATGTAGCATGTATTACATGTTCCTTGCATGAATGAAGGAAAGAAACATTATTTAACAATCTTCGGGGAATTCTCTTGTGGTTCATTGATTAAAATTCTGCGCTTTCAGAGCTGCTACTGCTATTGCTGCTGCTACTGCTACTGCTGCTGCTACTCCTGCTAAGTCGCTTCATTCATGTCCGACTCTGTGTGACCCCATAGACGGCAGCCCACCAGGCTCCCCCATCCCTGGGATTCTCCAGGCAAGAACACTGGAGTGGGTTGCCATTTCCTTCTCCAATGCATGAAAGTGAAAAGTGAAAGTGAAGACACTCAGTCTTCAGTTGCTAAGAGTCCGACTCTTAGCAACCCCATGGACTACAGCCCACTAGGCTCCTCTGTCCTCGGGATTTTCCAGGCAAGAGTACTGGAGTGGGTTGCCATTGCCTTCTCCATTTCACAGCTGAGGGCTCATATTTGGTTCTACTTGGGAACTAAGATTCCACAAGCTGTGCAGTGTGGCCAAACAAAAACCCAACCTTTGGAGGCCTTAAATCACTTCCTTATGGAACATCACTGTTTTGAGAGATATTTCAGAGAGCTGGTAACATAGCCTAGAATAGACTATAGAAATGAAAAATAAAGACCTGAATTACCCATACTGATGTTTTCCTTGTCCTTTTTGAAAAGATTCCTGCTCCTTTTGTGAGGTTGTATTCTGATGTAAAACTTTGACAAAGGTGGATTGCTACCCTCGGAAAATAAAGGTAGCAGTAGTCACTCTTTTTAAAGAAAAAAATTATTTATTTACTTGCTAAACTGCTTCAGTCATGTCTGACTCTTTGCGACCCCATCAATGATAGCCCACCAGGTGCCTGTGTCCATGGGATTCTCTAGACAAGAGTTTTGGAGTAGGTTGCCATGCCCTCCAGGGGATCTTCCCAACCCAAGGACTGAACCCATGTCTCTTTATTTACTTATTTATCATTTATTTTTGGCTGTGCTGGGTTTTTGTTGCTGTGTACAGGCTTTCTTTAGCTGTGGAGAGCAGAGGCTACTCTCTAGTTGCGATTTCTGGGCTTCTCATTGTGGTGGCTTCTCTTGTTGCGGAGCTCGGGCTTTCTGTGCACAGGCTCAGTAGTTGTGGCACATGAGCTTAGTTGCCCTGCGGCATGTGGGATTTTCCCAGACCAAGGATCGAACCTGTGTCCCCTGCATTGGCAGGCAGATTCTTAACCACTGGACCACTAGGGAAGTCTGGTACTCATTTTTGATTGGCCAATTTCTTTGCCCAGTTTGGTTCAACAAGGAAGAGGTAGTAAGTATATCTTTGCTTATGTCCACTTCCTCTTTTCCTTCTTCCTTTTGAGTGAGTATTCTGATAGATTGTGGGTTTAGAATATTAATTTTTTTAATATTCTGTGTTATCAGTAGTCTTATAATATTTTTTGTTGACTTTCCTCAGATTGGATTTTGATGATGATGGAGAAGGGAACAGTAAATTTTTGAGGTAAGATTGTAAAATTTTATCTAGGTTTCTGATATTAAAAATTAATTATCTTTATGACTCATATTTTTGTCTTTAGACCTGAGGAGAGTCCTTCATCCTAAAACTAAAATTTCCTGTTATACCCCATACAATTTCCAAGCATTCTGGTAATAACTCCAGAGGAAAGTGCTCAGTGAGAAGAGGGTACAGAATTTACAAGACCCTCTGTATCAGTTATCTGTAGTTGTGTGGCTTAAAAATAACAATGATTTATTATTTCTTACAATTCTGTCGATTGGTTATTCTGCTGATCTTGCTGATTCTTAAGACTGCATTCAGCTGCCTTGTCATCTGGGAACTGGACTCAGATGATAATGCTGGGTATCTCTCTCTCTCTCTCTTTGTTTTTTTTTTTTGTGTGGTCATTTATCCTTAAAGAGGGCAGACTTGAGTTTCTTTACATGGTGATGGCTGTAATACAAAGGGCAAGTTTCAGTCCAAGTGCTTATTATCAAGCATCTGCTTTGTATTGACATTTGCTGTTGTCCTATTGGCCAAAGCAAGTCATATGTCCAAGTTCTGACTCAATATGGGAGTGGGCTGCACCAGGTAGTGAATTCTGCAAGGAGTAATTAGTTGGGAGGTCATTAATGTACTAAAGTTGCCCTGTGATACTGATTTCTCCTACAGAGCGGGAATTGGAATTTGTATCCTTGTAGTACTGAACCTTCTAGAGAACTGAAAATGAACTTTTCAGTATATTGATGAAGGAGTACTTTCAGAGAAGGGAAATTTCTATTCTTGCATAAGACCAGTTACTTGGCTTTGTGGGGTTTTTTTTGGGAGGGTGGGGTTGGTGCTGTGTTGGGTTTTAGCTGCAGCATGCAGGATCTTCGTTGCTACATGTTGGATCTTTAGTTCATCATGTGGGACGTAGTTGCCTAACCAGGGATCGAACTCAGGCCCCTTGCATTGGGAGCATGGAGTCTTACCCGTGGGACCACCAGGGAAGTCCTTACTTTGCTTTGCTTTGAGGTCAGGAAAGCAGTAAGAGTCAAAGAATGGAAGGTAACCTTGACTACACCCTGCCTTTTTTTTCTTTTCAAAGTTGAAAATGCTACCTAGGTAATGTCTACATTGCAGAGTAACACATATTTGAAAAATAAATAAAGGAGCCCTGTTCTTAAAAAAATTTATTTTACTATGTGAGTTTCTGGATTTTATTATTTGAACTAAGTTCTTAAAAGAAATATAAACATACTTTATCACAAAATTGTTAAACAGTACAAGGTTATATGTAATGAAAGTACATCTTCACTTCATACCTTCAGAATCCTTCTCCTGAGACTGTAGTTTCCAGTTTATTAAATATCCTTCCACAGATATTCAGTGCATATGTAAGTGTATTTAAATGCACTTATATTTGTGCATATACAGTCATTGTCTCCTCATTTTTTGTTTTTATACAGAAGATGCCCATATTGTAAATTGCTTGCCATTGTTTAGTTTTATAGTGCTTAGTTGAGTCAGTGACATCTGTCTATCTATTATTATTGTTTTTGCAGTATTTAAAGTTAAAGCTCATGTGTTTAGCTTCTGCCCAGCTGTGGAACACTGCCAGATATTCTCGAAAACAACAAGTGCGACTTGGCTACCATAAAGAAATAGTTGCAAAATATTGGAGAAAGCCATTTTCCAAGAGAGGTCTTGAGCATTAATGACTGTCAGCAAATGTAAAGAGGGGAAAAGATTTCAGTTTCTATGCAAGAATAGACTTTTTTCCACACAGTTCCAGTGCACATTCCTCCAATTAGGAATCCCTAATTATAATAATAAATATAATAGTAGTAGTAGATGTGCATATGAATGGGATAGAGGTAATCACTAGTCTTATTTATTCCTGTCATTTAGCTCTAGCCCTGAGCCATTGCTTCCATTCCACAAAATCTGGTAGTCACAAACTACACACAAATTTTAAAACATTTATTTGTCCTTTCCCCAACCTTAAAAAGAAGTTTTCATAATTGATCTTACCAAATAGGTCATTATGCATGCCCAGGAGAGTCATCACCAAATTTTTTTTACTTGATCATTAGAACTTTTATTTTTCCGGCTTCATGGCTTGCAGGATCTTAGTTCCTCAATCAGGGATTGAACCCATGCCCTGGGCAGTGGAAATACAGAGTCCTAAACAGGAATTCCCAGTACATTTTTTTAGTTGGAATTTTCCGCTTTGGTCTGAGAGTGAAAGTCTTACTTGCATTGTTTCTGTAAATTTGTAAATCAGCTTAATACTTGGTGGATACTTGGTGGATTAAATCAGTCTCCTTGGTGATGCAAGTTGTAATTTATTACCTCTTTTCATCACTTTATTCAAGTGTCATTTTGTTATATTCTCCAGACAACACTATGAAATAATTTTTAAGAATATGAAGGATTTTAAATTCTACATACAATATCAGAGTTGCTAGTACTAAAATAATGCTCTCAAGCTCAAAGAAATGCAGGTATAAATCCACCAGGGGGTTCTTGACAAGATGAAGATTATAATTTGTTAGGTCTCGGATAGTGCCCAAGATTCTGCATTCTTTCAGATTCCTAAGTGATGCTGCTGCTTCTGGTCCACTGACCACACTTTGAGTAGCAAGGACCTGGAAGATACATTCTTGAGATTCAAAGTTAATATGTAAATTATAGGTCTCTTTTTTCATCAAGAGTTTGTAGCGTGTGATTTATAGTATATTTTGTGTCTTAGAAACAAACAATTTGTCCTTGAGCTGAAATTCCACTACACCTCTATGTCTGCTCTCCAGTTATTTTCAAAGAAAATTTTTGGGGTCAAATTAGTTGAGGATTTATATAGCCTGTGAAGTGTAAATTTTGGCTGTAATTGGAATAACTGGCTTAACTGAAAATTTTGTGAGTCTTACCTGTCTCACAAAGGCTCTTTCTGCCCAAAGGGGATGGATTTTTGTTATGTCCTGTGGCAGTGAGAAGAGGAAAATTTAGATCATCCGGAGAAGAGAGTGGTGTTTTCATAGTTAGGTTTACCTCGTTCAACACATCCTCCTTTGTGGTTTCTGTAGTAGCAAACAGGATTCATCAGCTTATTAAATAGAAGTTGTTGAGATGAATGGATTGTGTTTTCTTAATCAAAGAGATGTTGTTCATTGTTTAAATCATAATTTAAGACTTTAGAAACTTTTGCACATCAAAGGAAGCACAGTGGAAAGGTAACCTATGGAATGGAAGAAAATATTTGCCAGTCATATATCTGATGTGATACTTGCAGAACTCCTGTAACAGAAAACAACCTGCTTAAAAAATGAGCAAAGGATTTGAATTGGCATTTCTCCAAAGAACATACACAAATGGCTAAAAATCATATGGAGAGACACTCAACATTACTAATCATTTAGAGAAATGCAAATCAAAACTACAATGAGTAGGCCATTAGAATGCTACCATCAAAAAATCCAGAAAATAGCAAGCACTGGTAAGGATATGGAGGAATTGAAACTCTTGTGTACTGTTGGTAGGAATGTAAAATGGTACGGCCACTTTGGAAAACAGTACAGAGGTTCCTTGAAACATTAAAAACAAATATTATATGATCCAGCAGTGCCACTTCTGGTTATATATCCAAAAGAATTGAAAGCAAGATCTTAGAGAAACTTGTACACTCATGTTCACTGCTCCATTTTTCACAGTAACTGAGAGGTGGAAGCACCCCAGATATCTACTCACAAATGTAATACTACTCAGCCCTAAAAAAGGAATTTCTGTCATATACTACCACATGGATAAACCTTGAGGACATTATACTAAATGAAATAAGCCTGTCAAAAAAAGATAAATACTGTATGATTCCATTCATGTGAGGATGTAAAGTAGTCAAAATCAGAGAGACAAAGTGGAGTGGTGGTTGTCAAGAGCCAGGGGTGGCATGGAGACAGAGAGAATGAGAAGATGATGTTCAGTAGCTACAGAGTTTGTTTTTCAGTGTGAAAAAGTTCTAGAGATACTTTGTACACCAGTGTGAATATAATTAGTGCTACTGAGCCATATACACTTAAACGTGGTTAAGATGGCAAATTTGATGTTACATGGTTTTTGACGTAATCAAAGAAAAACAAAACTATCCCTAACCTCGGGGAGGTATTGACAGGGAAGTCAGTTGTACCCTCATGAGCTCAACGTCTTGTTTTGGAATGTTTGGTAAGTAAGAGTAAAGGAGACATTAGAAAACAGACGAATAATAATCATGGATTTTTAAGTTCTGTGAGATGATATTATTATCTCTATTGCTTTGTGCTGCCTTTTCAATTGGATTTTTTTGCTGAATATTTTTACCCCTTTCTGGTTCTCCTTTCAAAATGAAATAGATATAACAAGTATAATGCCTTGGATTAATCTTTTTTTTTCTCCTTCAGGTGTGATGATGATCAGATGTCTAATGATAAGGAGCGATTTGCCAGGTAATGTAGTAGAGCATCTTGGTCCTTGTTGTGGGACCAGGCAATTTAAAAATTCTTAGTTTTAATTTTTTCTCAATGAGAGTTAATTTCTCTGCCCAGTCTCAACTGGTGAAAATTAGTATTATGATTGTTGTTTATGGTCAGGTAACACGGCTTCAGACTTACGGTGCCAAACTAAGGGTATACCTAAACAATGTTTTTATGTATGTGATAAATAGCTATACATTGTGCTTACTGGGTGTGCACAGAAACACAAACAATGTGAATTTCTTAGTTGCATTTATTATTAAGTGGATCTACAAAACCTGTACAGATAACGATTTTATTCTTTTAAAGATGACAGCAAATAAGCAATTTATACAGAGTGCCATTTTTATTGAAATACATTTGTTTAAGTTACCTGTCTAGAGGATGAAAAATACTTTGGTTTATATTGAACAAATCCTCTCAACTCATACTGGTTTATTCTTAGAAAGTTTATTCTGTATATTGTTAAGCAGTAAACTGTTTGTTTTTTAAAAACTGAATTTGCAGCCATACCAGAAAAGGGAATAATCTAAAACCCAGTGCTTAGCTAAGCAGTTACTACGTATTCATTGCTGACGCTGCTGGCCTGGAGCCATGCGTCGGGGACTGTTGATGTCAAGGGCTCAGCAGTATCAGTCAGAGTAGTTCTAAACTACTCTGAAGCAGTGAGATGCCATCGTAAGCTTTGAATGAAATGATAATGTATTAATATAAAAGGCACGTGGAATTTTTCTGTAGTAGCTTTATGTAGGACTCATTGAAGAGCAGCACTGTAGTCAAGAAGGTAAATGGGATGCCACTGAAATAGTAAGACGGTGGTAAAATGGTGAGGGCCTGGGCTAGAATGGTGGCAGTGGCAGTGGAAAAGGAGCAGACTTAAAGGTTTCTGAAGAATTTGTTGTTACTTTAAATCTGAAGTAGATATTTACAAATGCTTTAGGATGTGAATCATCTCTCAAATGAGAAGTTTGTAGTAGATACTTGGGGAGTAGTTTTTTAAAAACTGCATTAGAAAGTGAAGCCATCAAATAATAGTGGTAGTATGGGTTTCAGTCTCTTGACTGAAATTCCAAAAAGCTATGAAAACATGACCTGAATTGTTTTAGTCTTCATTTGTCTTGCTTAATGTAAATATTTATACATCCTGCATTTTATTTGGAAATATTGAAGTAGATAAGGGATTATGGATCTGTATTGGTAAGAGTGGTAATCGTAATTTTAGATATTTAACTTGCAAACAACAGAGCTCATTTCTTTGTGGGATCGTAGTTCCATGACCAGGGATTGAACTGGTACCCTCAGAAGTGAATGTGTGGAGTGCTAACTGCTGGACTGCCAGGGAATTCTCAGAACTCATTTCTTTAAGATTTGTTAAACTAGTTTACCTCAAATATTCTTGTTTGGGATTCAGTAGAGGGTCTTCAAAAGATGAAATGAATTTTCCCAACTTTTTGAAAAAATATTTGTAGCTTGTTAAGGAATTACAATAACCCAGTGAATGTGAAACTTTACTTAATACCACCTTTTTCTTTCTCATGTCAATATGCATAAGTTTTCACATAGTTCTTGTCATTACTGTGTTATTTTTTTGTCTCTTTTTTCCCCCCTGCTGACCATTTTCTAGAAATTTCCCTATGTATTGATAAAGTCATTGTAGTTGTCATTTTTTAATAGCTGTTTTTTCAGCCTGTTAATATATCATACTTAGATATTTTTTCTTAATCTATTCTTAATCTCTTTATATACATGTACTTATGTATATATTTAAGATGGAATTGATTACTGATAAACTGAACTACCAGCACCAACTACCAACGTTTTTCTTCATTTGCCACAAACCCTTATAGTATTTCAGTTATTCAGAGAAAGTTAGTGGTAATCCTTTGTAGCCCCCTCCAGGGAAGAGGGAGTTAATCTAGGATCCAGCAATGTTACAGCTTTATTGCAGAGAAATGGGAAAGTGACAGAAGAGAAATGTACCACTTCAAGATCAAGTCATTGATAGGGGATATACTAGATACCTAGCTCTTGGTTTTATTTATATAATTCTCCCGGGAAACCTGGTTGGTTATTTTCTCTGTGAGCGCATGTGTGCTGTATGTGTATTATAGAGAGATTGTGTTTGTGATCACTTGTTTGACGTTCTTAACATGATTTACTGCTTGATTTTTTTTTTTTTTTCAATGTAGAAATAGCATATGTGGATATTAGTTTCTTTGCAGATTGGAAGCAGTATGTGAAAATGATATCCCCTTGTTTAGTTCTTATTCAAATAGTATGTCTGCTTGGTTTCTAAAGAGATAATTGGCTTTCTGTGCTCAGATTATGTTCATTTATAATGAATATTGGACTTGCTTTTATGTTGACCTTTGTCCTGTGAGTTACTTTTCCTTTATTCTGACAAATGGTTTTGTCGAGTTACAGGCAAGGTTCTTGTCTATATTTTCATTTCCCCCTCTCTTTGTATCTGTTTTTTTTTTTCTGTTATCTTCTTCCCTTCCCTTCCCCCTTTTCTCCTCCCTCTTTCCTCTTTCCCTTTCTCCCCTTCCTTCTTTCCTTCCCCCCTTTTCTTCCTTCCTCCCTTCTTCCCCCTTCCCTTCCTTCCTTTCTTTTTATTTTACGTTTAGCTTAGTTCATTAATTCTGTTTTTAGGTCGGATGATGAGCAGAGCTCTGCGGATAAGGAGAGACTCGCCAGGTAGGAAAATGGTGTCTTAGCACGATGAAGTGGATGCTGCTGTTTTTCTATCCTTTTTTTATTTCTGCTCTTTTCTTCCCCTTTCTCTTCATGTTTTTCTTTGTCTGTGGCAAGAGAGGACAAGATTTTTAGAAGTTTGTATATAACAGGAACTTTGGCTTCCCCCAGCAGAAAGTGGGTGAGTTGAGGGAACTTAGGAATTTAAGAAATTGCTATTAGTTTTATAGATTTCTCTTTATCTTAGCACACTAAGTTTTGCAGAATAAAAAGCTTTTAGAAACAGTGCCGCTGTGCCAGTCAATACTTTAGCAGGAAAATACTGTTTTATCAGAAAGCCAATAAATATATCTGTGTTTGCAATTAGTTCCTAGTCTTTAGACCTCAGTATTACTCCACACCCTTCTAGAAAGCTCACCCTTATTTTCCTGGATACACTCACAGCCTAGATTACCTTGTCACAGCAGTACTGGTGTGGCTTTGGTGAGTGAATCTTGTGGTTTCTTAGAAAAGCTTAGCAGCCTTGATGTGGCTATTTAAAAGATCAGTCTTCTGGATTTCACTGTCAGAAACCTGTCAGATACAAGGAAATGGGTGCTTTATGTTTAAGAGTAGAATTTTATGTTTCTCAGGCAGAGTAACTAAATATGGACTGACGCTCTGAGACCTGTTGTTACCTCTTTCAGCGGGGTCATAGTCTCATTTTGCTGCCATTTTAACTTATGTCTGCTAATGCTTTCCCATTTCAGAAAACTGGTGTGGTATGGTGGGAAGAACACTGCATTCATTGGGAATGGGGGCCCTTGGAAAAGCCCTTGGTTAACTGCTGGACATTAGTTTGCTCTAATCATGAAAAAGAGATTTAAGTTGGATTCATTGTTTTCTTTTTGTTTGTTTGTTTTGGCAGAGAACTTTTGTTCAGATAGAATCTTTAGTGGTAATAGAAGTCCATAAAAAAGAGAAAACAAAGCTGCTCAAAACAGAAACAGAAATGCAGTATGTTGTTTGAGTCTCTCCTTGAAGCATTCCTATGGAAGATACTGAGGAACTGTTAGGCTTTTCAGAAATCCAATTAGAAAAATATTGAATTATACTTTTAGCAGTAATTTTACCCTGATTTTGAGGAAGTCAGTATTGGAGATGTTTTCTGCTTACCGTGGTGAGATCCAGATTGTCTGTTTTCAGGCCTTTAAGCATCTTCCTTCCTATTCTCCAGTTCACTTTGTCCCAAATTGGGCATCCTAAGGGACTTCTAGTAAATGGCATCTTATAAATCTCTTGAGCTCAGTGTACTGGCACCACACCCAGATAGAGAAGCTAGGGCCTTGTCCATTAGGGGGACAAGTAGAACTTCCAGTTCTGCCTTCTAGTGTTGAGAATAAGAGAGATACTTAGAACAAACAATACTTTATAGACCAAGGGAGTCTATACTAATCAATTCTCATATCAACTGTTGAGCAACATACTTCTGTTGGAAAAAAATTTGTCATTTTATGTTTTCAGCCTTTAAAAAGTTGCATTGGTAAATAAGAAATCAGCCAAGCTGAGGAACTTAAGTAAATAAAATCAATGTTTTTTAAGACTGTCATTTCTTAAAACACTTTTTATTCTGAGGGAGTGGTAATTTACATAGGAAGTGAAGTTTCCAGGAGTTAGAGAGATTGGCTGGTATCCGCTTGTACTCTTGTCTACCTTGTTAGTTTCTAATTCCATGCTTGCTCTGCATGAGAAGCTTGGCAGACCTTACTCTAACATCTGAGACTTAAGCACCACTAAATCTAAGTACCGCATTTCTTCAGCAGCTCACTTGGTATCCATGTCACTCTCTCTGCTCCCAAGTGGCCAGATATGACCACCTGGATGGGGTTTCTCCTCTCTCTCTCTCCACGCAGGGAAAACCATAGTGAGATTGAACGGCGACGACGGAACAAGATGACAGCCTACATCACAGAACTGTCAGACATGGTACCCACCTGTAGCGCCCTGGCTCGGAAACCGGACAAGCTCACCATCTTACGCATGGCCGTTTCTCACATGAAGTCCTTGAGAGGAACTGGCAACACAGCCACCGACGGCACCTACAAGCCGTCTTTCCTCACTGATCAGGTCTCTGGGAAGCACACATGAGGGGGTCTAGAATTTTTTGAAAGTTTTGATCTTTTGGGGGTGGATGCCCATAATCCTGAAGTGTGTGTTTTATTGGGAATCGGAGCAGAGCTGAATCTGTAGATTCTTTAAAGGACAGGAATTCAGTTCTGAAGGAAATATTCAGGTTATAGGAAAGTCAGTTTTGATCCCTGACTGTGTCATTTATTAGCCTTGAAACAGAAGTAGAGAGGAATTGTGAAAAGTATTTAGCACGCTGACAGGTATTTTAAAACTTTACTTATGAATCCAGTCTGCAGGGTAGAAGAACAGTGGGATCTCAGGGATGACTGTGTTCATGGAACCAGTCCTTTTCCTTGGCTTTAGGGTTATAGAAGATGAAAGTAATATATTTCTTTTTCTTGAAACAGCTTCCAGTTTTAGTGATGAAAGGAATCTAACAGGGAGTTGTTGTTGCTTAGAGATATGCTCTGTTACATTCGATGCACTATGAGAGAAATAGAAGGTAAAAACATTTCCAGCTTTTCAGAAACTCAGTTTGAATATGAATATGTGAGTAGCAAGATACACACATAAGTGAAAAATGAGAAAAATGCGTAAGAGAAGAAATGCCTTTAAAGAACTTATTAACAGTTTATGTAGGATTAAATACATGTGTTGGCTTCCCCCATGGCTCAGTGGTAAAGAATCTGCCTGCAATGCAGAAGACGCGGGTTCCCTCCCTGGGTCGGGAACATCCCCGGGAGGAGAAATGGTAACCTACTCTAGTATTTCGCCCGGGAAGGCCCGCGGACAGAGGGGCTGGCGGGTTACAGTTATAGGGTTTCAGAGAGTCTGACACAGCTGACAGACTGAGCACACGGACACACACAGATACATATATACTAGCGGGATGGCTAAAGCAAACAGAGTGGCTGGGCCTGAGTCAGAACAGTCAGCAAAGACTTCAGAGAGTATGAGGTAGCCATGTTCTGTTTTGATTGTTGAAAGTATCACTTATTTATTGCAGAAAATTTCAGAAAATACAGGAAGTATGAGGAAGAAAAAATTGACCTGTAATGCCATCCTTTTATTCAGAGGATCAGAAGGAAGGAAGGAATGTGGTTTGGAAGAAAGCACTAAAACTTTTCCCAAATAGGATGGTCTATATGAAAGCACATATAGCACAGATTATATATATATGTACATTGAAAAAGCTAATCAATTTGTACTGACAGAGCACATATAGATATTGATTCAACAGTTTCCAATTAGGCACTTTTTGTGAGCTAACCAAGTACTTTGTGCTGTTAGAAATGTAAAGAATGGTAAGAGGTAGTCACAGGTAAAAACATGTGTAAATAAATAAATCATGATGTAAACACAGAATCCAATCTATATCAGAGGTGCAATAATAAGTCCTGTAGAAGTGTAAATATGGAAAGCGAAGAATAGGGGAGTAGTGTTGTAAATACTGGAAATAGCTTGATTAAAAGCACTGTGAGAAGAATCAGGTTATTCAAGGAAAATCAGTTTAGCATGCCCTGGGAGATGATAATGGGAAGATAGGCTGGGACCTGATGAAGGAATATTTAAGTGTTAAATAACTTAGATTTTAATTTTTAGGCAATGGGTAGCTATAAAAAATGGGGTAGTATTTTGAGGATGGATTGGAAAGAGTGAAAGCAGGGAGACCATTAATCTTGGCATGAGATGACATTATATTCAAAAATAGAATTGATAAGCTGAGTTATCACTGGAGTGTGAGAGACTAGTTAGATTTTTTAGATCTATACCCTGAGAGGAAGGGGATACTGTTAGTCAAGAAAGAGTGCTGGAAGAGCCCAGAGGATTGTTTTTAAAGAGGGAGATAAGGCTGGGTTTTGAGATGTTGAAATTGAATTGCTGATAGAATGTCTATTTGGAGATGCTTAGTAGATTTTAGGCAAGTCTGGAAATGTAGACTTGGGTATCATTTCGTAGTGGAGAAGTGGATATGATTTCTGAGAGAGAGAGTATGGAATAAATAGAGGAGAGAAGTTAAGATAGAATGTTGGAATTGCCCGCACTTGAAACTTGAACAGAGGAAAAGGAGCTTGAAGCAGAGAAGAGACATTTGGAAAGGAAGTAAAAGTTTGGGAATGGTGTCATAGAAGCTAGGCAGAAATAAACTTTAAAGGATAGAATAAACAATACTGTCAGATCTGTAGTGACATTGTGTACATACTCGGGAAAGAGCACTTGAGTTGGCAGTGGGGAATACATTATTAGTAGTAACCTGCTGAAGAAAGATGCAGTGGTTGAGAGTGAGATTGCAGATGGACTGAGAAATACATGAAAAGGGAGTAGAGCCAGTGAGTATGACATCACTCTTAATTTAAGCTTGGCCCTGGAAGATGAGTTGGGCAGAGTTGAGGGAAGTTTTATATAGAATTAGGAAAACTTGATTATGTTTAAGATTTGAGGGGAAAGAGAACAATCTGAATATTTGTAGAGCATCATCCTAAGAGACCAGAGAGGGTGAGATCAAGAACTCAAATTTTTGTTAATGGTAAGCATTTTTATTATCTGTCTTGAGTTCTGAGGTAAAGAGGAGGGAGGTGGATAGCGACATAGACACACTGATGAACTATCTATTGGAAAAAGCTACCTTGTCAGTGAAGGTGAGTATATTTAAGGTACAAAGCCGTGCCTGTGGGTCGAACAGAAGGCCACAGTTGTTTATGGAAAGATACGTATGGTCTGAAGGGTCTTCCTTCTTTCCATAGTAACATTTGTTTTTTTCAAAAGAGTTCAGTATTAATTTGTACTTCTCTTCCTTGGGCAGGAACTGAAACATTTGATCTTGGAGGCAGCAGACGGCTTTCTGTTTATTGTCTCATGTGAGACAGGCCGGGTGGTATACGTCTCTGACTCAGTGACCCCAGTTTTAAACCAGCCTCAGTCTGAGTGGTTTGGTAGCACGCTGTATGATCAGGTGCACCCAGATGATGTGGACAAACTTCGTGAGCAGCTTTCCACTTCGGAAAATGCGCTGACAGGTATGAGTTACGTAGATGGGAAATGAGTGGCAAGTCCTTTCTTTTTTTCTGAGATAGAAGAGGTATTTTAATGCTTAAATTTTCCCATTGTATCTGGCAAAACTTTTAGAATTTTCTTCTTTCATGAATATAATCTATTCTTTTTATCCACATGCAAGTAATGTATTTTGTAGCTCATCCTTAGAAAATGTTTCATTAGTGACAGTGTTTATATAAAAGTTTACTTTAATCTTAATATTAGTGTAACTACACCATAAAGGCCAAACCTATAATATCACCACCTTCCTTGTCATTTTAAAAGAATTAAATTATCCATGTTTATGTCTCATTTGTATGGGTAATTACTTGGTATTTTTTTCTACCAAGTTGTGCTTGGCTTTGACTTTGTACTTGGTTCTGTGATGATAGATTTTTATTTTAGAGGGGAATGGTTATCATTCAGTATATCAGGTGTTTTTTGTTTGTATCTGCACTATTTTTCTGTCTTGTTTTTGTCCCCCCCTCCCAGCTGCCTCTGTTTAATGTTATTCAGTCCTTTTGCCAGAGTTTGGCTGAAGGAAATAAGTCACATCTGCTGCTAAGCAATCTGGAAAAAATTTTAATGTGGAAGCAGATTAAAGCTGGTAATTGAAATCAAATCCATTATGGTCATATTAACGTTGGTATTTAGCTTTCCCTTCTTTTATGTTTTTATGGATTTCATTTTTCTAGTTCTTCTCAAAAGTTCCCATTTGGTTTCTATATAATATAGGAGGGACAATTTTAGCATGAGAGATGCATTTTTCTATAGCATATAAAATTATTTGTTTTTAAACCAATGACATTCACTCTGTGTGTTTGTTTGTGTGTGCGTACCTCCATGCATGTGTATAAAAATAATCAGTCCCAAGAATATAACCTTGCTCTTGCTTGCCAGCTCTACCTACTTCTGCTCCTGTCTTCCCTTGCACAAAGTTATTTCCAGTGCCGCCTTTGAACTGAAGCATAAGATTCATTGATGGGAATCGAGGTGTTTTAGACTTGAAAAAAATCCACCTCATACTTGGCTTATTCTGTTATAAGCAAGGAGATTGAGGAGCGTAAATAGGCTATTTACTTAGCTTTGCCTCCAGTATCTCTCCCCCTCTTCCCTGCACACAAGAATGTACTCCAGACTCTTCTTCACATCCTTCTTCAGGGCGTATCCTGGATCTGAAGACTGGAACAGTGAAAAAGGAAGGTCAGCAGTCTTCCATGAGGATGTGTATGGGCTCAAGGAGATCGTTTATTTGCCGTATGAGGTGAGTGTCAGGATGAGGATTGTGACTTGTCATAGGAAGAATTCAGAGCTGAGGGTTTGATTTCTGGTCAGAGGAGTTAAACTTTTAAATCTAAGCTCCAGGTAGATTAAATTCAACTCTCAAGACGTGATTTAGTCGTAACAGAAAGTGATAAGCAAACTAGTATTTACTGAACTCTTCTTATGATAGTTGCTTTATGTGTCATCTCATTTTCCACAACTGCCCCGTAGAGTAGAATTCAAGGTTACTATTTTGCTGATTAAAAAAAAAAAATGACACAGAGAAATTGGCTTCCCATATTTGATTCAGGTTTTATTTTAATCCATACTAGTTGGATGCCAGTATCTCTGTTTTTTTCCTGGCGTATTCCTAGACAACGTCCATGTACTCAGGCTACTTCTGCCCCCCTCTCTTCCCTTTAGTAGAAATTTAAGACTTTCTGATTCCTTTCACTTAATATTTAACATTTATAAGTTACATACTATACATTTTAGGATTCTGAAGAAAGGATGGTAGTAGTTTTCATCACAGGTAGAGAGAACATCTCTTCATGTCACAAAATAAATTCAGGTTGTGTAATGGAAATTGACTGTTGAGAGGATGCTTATTAGAAGTGATGAATAGGATATTAAGAAAGGTTTCCTGGGGGTCTTACAAAATTTAATATTATGTGGCTTAGTGGTTTGGAAAAGCTTCTAGACCCAGACTACTGGATTTATCACTTATCTTCTGACCTTGAATGGATTAAATGACTGCTTTGTGTTTTTATTTCTTCACCTAATATTGGGAGTTATATCAGCCTCATAAACTTGTTATGAAGATTAGATGAATAAATACATATAAAGATGCTTAGGACTTCTCTGGTGGTGCAGTGGTTAGGAATACACCTGCCAGTGCAGGGGACACAGGTTTGAGCCCCGGTCTGGGAAGATCCCACAGGCCTCAGAGTAACTAAGCTGTCGTGCCACAACTACTGCCTAGAACCCGTGCTCTTCAACAAAAGAAGCCGCTGTAGGCCTGCGGAAGGTGGCGGCAGCGGCGGTGGCAGCATCTGCGAGCCAAGGCCCAGGCAGGACATGGTGGCGCCGACGGCCTTGTAAGAAATGGGCGCCAGCGGCTCCAAAGCTCGGGGCCTGTGGCCCTTCACCTTGGTGGCGGGGGGCGGTGGCCCAGAGGCGGCGGTCGCTGAGCAAGCTTTGGTGCGACCGCGAGGCCGAGTCTGCCCGCCTTCGTATTCACGCGCCGCGGCTCCATGTTCTATGACGCGGATGGGGATCTGGCTCATGAATTCTATGAGGAGGTAATCGTCACCAAGAACGGGCAGAAGCGGGCCAAGCTGAGGCGGGTGCATAAGAACCTGATTCCTCAGGGCACCATGAAGCTGGATCCCCCCCGCATCCACGTGGATTTCCCTGTGATCCTCTATGAGATGTGAGCCTGGGGGGTGGCAGGCATAAATACCCCCTGCCCCAGCAAGACACCCCCAGACTCAAGGTGTGGCTTCCATTGAGGAACCTAGGCTGGGGCCAACAGTGAATAAACTCCACTAGCCTGGAACCTTCAGCTGTGAGCAGGGCAGTCCTACAGTGCTGGTTGGGTGTTGGTTTGTATGTGGACCAGAGGTGGCTGGAAGCTGGTGAGGGCTGATGGCGGAGTTACCAGTCCACCTTTCCCAGCAATCCCTACAAGGAGCATGGAAGGGCACATGCTGGTCAGGAATGCTTGGTTCCTGTGCCCCTGCCTGGCCTGTGTTCTTCCAAGCTTGACTAGGGCCCAGCCCTGCTAGAGGCTACAGCACTTTACAAGCAAGGTCTGCCTTTTTCCAGCCCCAGGGCACTGGGAGCTCTACAAAAGTGGGAACTTCTTTCCCTCACTTCCTTTACCCTCTCGTTGGAGCATTTCAGCCGTTTGCTACCTCGATTCCTCCTGTGTTGGACAGAGGCTGGGGGCAGAACAAGCCTGATTTTTCCTGCCCACCTGCCCATTTGTTCCCAGCCCCAGATGGATGGACAATTTGCTGGCTTTTAATAGGAGTAGGGACTTGTGTGGGAGGTTTCTCCCTCTACCCAGGGCTGGCCCGATCCCTCCCCACTGCAACTAGTTGTCCCCTCCCCCCAACCCCAAGTTGAGAGGGCATAGGATGGGGATCAGGAAGGGCTCTGGATGCCTGTGCCCATCCCACCTACTGTATTTAATCCCCCTTGCCCTTACACATCTGCCACCCTGTGGTGAGGCACAGCACCCTAGGGCTGGTGCCAGTAGCTCTGAGGAGCCCACCACCCCTTTTCGTACAGTATACCCGTCCCTTCAGGATCAGTCAAAAGAAAAGTACTGGAGCCCCTGGATAGGGGCAGAAAGGAGAGAACAACCATAATAGGAATACTTAAAATGTGAAAGCTTGTAAATAGTTTAGTCCATGATGTTGTTGGGGCAGAGTCTGATTTCTGCATAGAAATGATTTTTTTAAAAAATTCCTTCCTGTGCAAACTCTGTGCTTTAAGCGTGTGAGAAATGGCTTGGGGAGGGTAGTCCTCAATCTAGGAAGGCTGTTGTGTTATTTGTTCAATAAAATTATTTGTAGACCCTGAAAAAAAAAAAAAGAAGCCACTGTAATGAAAAGCCCACTTGCTGCAACCAGAGAAAAAGCCCACGTGTAGCAATGAAGACCCAGCACACCAAAATAAATAAATATTTTAAAGATGCTTAGAATAGTGCATGACACATAAAATTCTATGTATGTTTTATTTATAATTAAAGAAATGAGAGAAGGAAAGTAGTGAGAATGAGAGAGAGTGTACCAATATGTGGACATGGCTAATGCAATGACATAGGGAGGAGGAAGGTAAACAATAACGTGATTGTGTGTGTGCTGAGTTGCTTTAGTCGTGTCTGACTCTGCGATTCTATGGACCGTAGCCCTCCAGGCTCCTCTCCTCCAGGGGTCTTCCCAACCCAGGGATTGGACCAGCATAAAAGTCTCCTGCCTTGGTAGGCAGGTTCTTTACCACTGGTGCCACCTGGGAAGTCCTAGATAATAACAAAATACAGCAAATAGATTTTGTTGCAGCATAGCGCTGGGGTCTACAAACCGCAACTCTCTTTGTAAATAAAGCTTTATTGGGACATAGCCATGCCCATTTATTGACATACTGTCTGGCTGCTTTTATACTCTTAATAGCAGAGTCGACTAGTTGTAACAAACTGTTTGGCCCACAGAGCTGAAAATATTTACTGTCTGGTTATTTACAGAAAAAGTGTACTAACTCCTGATGTAGAGAATATCTCCATTTGTAGAGCCTTTAGAACATTTTGACTTAAAAACTCTGAGACAGTTAGCAAGTTTTAGAAATACCAAACCTGACTTCTTTATCTTTCATTGTTAGGAGCATTGTTGCCAATTTTGTGTGTCAAGTTGTATCCAGAGCCTGATATCTGGCTGTTAAATGATGAAAACTTCTTTGATAGTGCAGCTTTTTTTCCTTAATTTTTTTTATTGAAATGTGGTTGAATTACAGTATTGTAGTAATTACTGCTGAACAGCAAAAGGACTCAGCTGTACATATATCTATGTATACATTCTTTTTCGTATTCTTTTCCATTATGGTTTTTCACAGAATATTGAATATAGTTCCGTGTGTCATTCAGTAGGACCTTTTGTTTATCCATTCTGTATATTCCAGTTTGCATCAGCTAACCCCAGACCCCCAATCTAAACCTGTTCCACCTTTGTCCCCCTTTGCAACCCCCTGTCTGTTCTCTGTGTCCCTGATTCTGTTTCATAGATAGGTTCATTTGTGTCCTATTTTAGATTCCACATAGAAGTGATATCATATGTTATTTGCCTTTCTCTTTCTTACTTCACTTGGTATAATAATATCTAGATTCATCCATGTTGCTGCAAATGGCATTCTTTTTTTTTGGCTGAATAGTGTTCCATTTTATGTATGTACCACATCTTGTTTACCCATTCATCTGTAGATGGACATTTAGGTTGCTTCCATGTCTTGGCTATTGTGAATAGTGCTGCTACGAACATAGGAATACATTTATCTTTTTTAATTACAATTTTGCTGGATCATATGGTAATTCTGTTTTTAGTATTCTGAGGAACCTCCACAGTGGCTGCATCAACTTGAATTCCTCACATCAGTGCAGGAGGGTTCCCCTTTCTCCACATCCTCTCTAGCATTTATTTGGAGACTTTTTAATTATGTCCATTCTGACCAGTTTGAGGTGATACCTCATTATAGTTTTGATTTGCATTTCTCTATTAATTAGCAGTATTGAGCAACTTTTCACATACTTGTTGGCCATCTGTATTTCTTCTTTGGAGAGATGTCTCTTTAGATCTTCTCGTTTTTCGGTTGGGTTTTTTTTTTCAAGTTGTATGAATGATAGTGCATCTTAATTGCTTTTAATCTCTCTGTTCATTGAAACAGGTGTGGCAGTAGCTCTGTGGATTCAGTCTCCATGAATAGGTTGAGCTTCGTGAGAAACAGATGCAGGTGAGATCTTAAGCAGTTTAAAAAAAAAAAAAAAACCAAAGGGATGGTCAGGTACCTGTAGAGATCATCACATTTTCAACTATCTTACTATAGTACTTCCTTCAGCAGCCCTTACCCTCATCCCTCACTTCTCAGTTACATTTTTATTTTTCCTGAACTTCTAAAGCATCTTTTGCTCATCCTGTTTAAGGAAGTTACACTCCCACTTTACCTGCTTTCTTCCTGCTGCAGTACCTTTCAGTTGCTTTACTTTGGCAAAGGTAAAAAATATGGTGGTCACTTTTGGGTGGGAAAGGTCCAAGTATAATCATCCTGTTATTTAAATACCCAGTAGCCTAAAATTAAAGGTACTAAGCTAGCATTGCTTTTTAAATGATACTGAGTAAAGTTTTTTCCTCACATCTGTAATTTTTCTAGGAATGGACTTGGCTCTGCAAAGGATGGGGAACCTCATTTTGTGGTGGTCCACTGCACAGGCTATATCAAAGCCTGGCCCCCAGCAGGTAGGAAAGTTGAATAGTGATTTCTTTCTGGGTGCAGCTAGTTCCTCAGAGTCCAAGAAAGTTAGCTAACATTTATCATATACATTTATCATATACCTGTTGCATATGAAATGTGCTTTGGTATAAACTATAAGAAAATAGGAAAGAAAAAGTGTACTCCTTCCCTTCCACTATGGATTTTCTATTCCAGTTAGGGAGATGGATGTCTCAGACTTGAAAATGACTCAGTATTGGCTGTGTCTTTTACTGGAACTAAAGGTCAAAAGGGAATGTGAGAAAAGTGGTTGGGGTGCAAGGATCAGCTGGCTTTTTAACCTGGCTTGTCAGAATTTCCAAGTCTTAGCAACTTTATTACCTCCCTGCTGGATAGGTATGACTAGGAATTGGGGGTTCTAGAGGGATAGCAGCTAAGAGAGGCAAGGTAGTGTATTTTGCTAAGAGGTTAAACTTTGAATTTGGAAAAACCTAGGTTTGTTTCTGATGTTATTTACTAGTGGTATATCTTAGTAAGTTACTTGACTTAAAAAACCCTCAATTTTCTCATCTATAATCTGGAGATAATATAACCCATAGAGAGTTATGAGGATTAGGTTTAATGTAAGAAAAGAACTTCGCCTAGTGCCTGGTAAGTAAGTGAAGTCGCTCAGTCGTGTCCATCTTTTTGCAACCCCATGGACTGTAGCCTACCATGCTCCTCTGTCCATGGGATTTTCCAGGCAAGAGTACTGGAGTGGGTTGCCATTCTGGCATATGGTAGGCACCCCCAAAATGGTAGTTAAATGTAATTAAGATAAATTAAGTTATAATGATGTTTGAACTTTTTAGATTATATACTGTATAGATGATACATTTGCAATATATATGGTCTTCTATATGTCTGTGTAGCTTTCAAAGAAATACTATTTTTCTTGGTAAAAAGAAGATAAATATGCAAAGAGTAGCGGGAAAATGCACCCATCTTCCCTTTCCACATAAAACACTGAAGCCCTGGCTCCTCTCTTTTCCAAAGAAGATAACTGTTGGTGTTTGGTTTAATTTCATTTTTGGTTGTTTGCTTAATTTGAAAGGCATCTTAATAGGCAAGGCATCTATTCTCTTAACTATGATATGGTCACAGAGTGCCAAATAAAATGTCTTCATATGTATTTGGTTTGGCCATGTTAATCTTATAGAATACTTTGTAAAGGCCCTGTGCTCTGTAATTTTTTATAGTTAATGTGAGTATAATATATGAATTAACATATATAAAAATACTTAAAACAGTACCTCATATAAATGATAAGTTCTTGGGACTTCCCTGGTGGTCCAGCGGCTAAGACTCTGTGCTCCCAATGCAGGGGACCAGGGTTCAATCCCCGGTCAGGGAACTTGATCCCACATGCTGCAGCTAAGTCTGGGAACAGCCAAATAAATAAATAAAATAAATAAATTTTTTTTTAAAAAAAGATAAGTTCTTTCGTTTATTTACCTTTATTCTTATCTTTTAGCACTCTTTGTTGTTTTATACCTAGTCTCATCATATCTGTGTGTGTTTTAAATCTTTACGCATCTAATTTTTTAAGGCAGTTGTGTTTGAGACACATGTTAAACCTTCTAACTTCACCTTCTTGAAGGTGTCTCACTTCCAGATGATGACCCAGAAGCTGGCCAGGGGAGCAAGTTTTGCCTAGTGGCCATTGGCAGACTGCAGGCAAGTATGAATTTTCTGCATCAGTTAATATATCACCCCCTTTCAATGGGAGAGAATCTTCAGGATGTGTTTATGTTATTTTTTTCTTTCACTCTTTGAATACAAATGAAGCATTCTGAAAATCTCCAAATATTTGGAGGAATATGGTATTCACACTTAACATTGCTTCTGTTTGAATTAGCAGAAACTGAAGACAGTGAAAGATCTTTTGGAGAGAGAAGTCTTTTTCTCTTTCATACTTTTAGCTTTGCAGTGCTAAATTTTCTATTTCCAGCTAATTTCTTTTCCTCCTATACAATATAAGAGAGTTCTCATTTTCATTTCATGACTGACAGTAGGGAAGTGGAATTATTTTGAGTCTCCTTACAAAAACAGATGTTTCTTGATTACTTGGGAGAATAATTTTCCAGTTTGAATAATGAATGCAACTTAGCTAAATGAAAGTAGGTGGGTTTGGGGTTGAATGAATTTTTATCTTTCTTCATAAAGTTAGTGAAGAGTACATGTGTGGGAGTGGAGCTAGGCCTCATGAAATTCCTAAAATTGGGAACCTGATGGGAAGTACATCTGTAAAGAATGGTGTCATTTTATCTTATTTTTATCTCTTTACTTTCAGGTAACTAGTTCTCCCAATTGTACAGACATGAGTAATGTTTGTCAACCAACAGAGTTCATCTCTCGACACAATATTGAGGGAATCTTCACTTTTGTGGATCATCGCTGTGTGGCTACTGTTGGCTACCAGCCACAGGTGAGGAGCTGGAGCTGTTACACCACTGGTATTTAGGCCTTTGTTTTCCCTTGGGTGTGCTGAGATGATTCATTCATGTAATTCCGGAGTTAGTCAAAACGTAGCAGCCCCAGTCAGAAAAAGAGATGATCCTATTCTATTGATGGCTAAGGATAATCTCAGCTTCCTACCAAGGTTAGCATCTGAGCTAGAAAAGTACGACTTGTGAAGCTAGGTGGGAGCAGCAGGTATGAATATGTATTTCTTTGTTAGTGATATTAGTACAGATAATGATGTGCTTTAACTAGCCATAATGATATGGCCACCTTTAGATAATTCATATAATCAATCTAGGTGCATAGTAACCCATTAAATATGCAACTTTAGCACTAGTTATTATGATTTATTTAGATATCTCATTCTGCAGACCATATATAACTATATCTGAATTGAGAAATAGGTCGTTATATAAATTTCAAAATTCTAGCCACCAGGAGGGACTTCTGGCTGTGGTTGTGTAAAGAAGCTGGTGAAAAAGAGATCTTGAAAAAGAAGAACAAAGTCATTTACACTTCCTAATGCAGCACCTGTTGTAGAACTGTTGTTACCAAGACAGTGTGGTGTTGGTGTAGGGATAGTTATTAGATCAGTAGATCAGAATGGAATCTATTCTCACATTTATGATCAACTGATCAGCTAATTTTCAACAAAGATATCAAAATAATTCAAGGGGAAAAGAAGCTTTTCCAATAGATGGGGATGGGACAATTGGATATTCATGTGCAAAACAGAATAAAACAAAACGAACTTAGACTCTTACCTCATAGCATGCACAGAAATCAACTCCAAGATGTAAAGGTGTAAGAACCAAAGTTTAAAACTTCTGGAAGAAAATAGGAGAAAATCTTTGTGATGTTGGGTTAGGCAAAGTTTTTTTTTTTTTTTTTGCTGCACTGTGCAGCCTGCTGGATCTAAGTGCTCCCCACCAAGGATTGAACCTGGGCCATGGCAGTGAAAACACCAAGTCCTACTCACCAGACTGCCAGGGAATTCCCTAGACAAAGATTTTTTTTATGACACTGAAAACGTGGTTCACAAAATAAATTTGATAAGTTGGGTTTCATAAAAGTTAAAATTTGCCCTCCTAAAAGGACATCATTAAGAAAATGAAAAGACTAGCCACAAATTGGGAGAAAATATTTATAAATCATATATCTGAAAAAAGATTTGTATCCAAAATATATGAAGAACTCTTACAACTCATTAAGATAACCAGCCGGTAAAAAAAAGAGCACAAGGTTTGAATAGGCATTTCATCAAAGAGGAGATATGAATAGCACATAAAAAGTTGCTCGTCATTAGGAAAATACACATTAAAACCACAATGAGGTACCATTGTGTCCCATTAGAATGGGTATAATAAAAAAATATTGGCAAGACCATGGAGAAACAGAACCTTCATACATTGTTGGTAGGTAAGTAAAATGGTAAACTGCTTTGGAAAAACATTTTGGCAGTTTCTTAAAAAGTTAAACACACACCCTCCAAATTAGCAGGTCCACTCCTAAGTATTTACCTAAGAGAAAGAAAGCATATGTTCACAGAAAGACTTACAACAGATGTTCATGACTGTATTATTCATAATAGCCAAAAAGTGAAAGCAGCCTAAATGTCCTTTAACTAATGAATGGATACACACTGTGATTTATCCATGTTAGAATACTTACAAGCAATAAAAAGGATGTACTATTGATATTTGGAACAACACAGATGAACTTCATTAAAATATTAGGTTAAATGAAAGAAGCCAGACCCAAAAGACTGCCTGTTCTGTGATTCCATTTGTGCAGAGAAGCAAAACTAAAGAAGCAGAAAGCCGATCAGTGGATGGCACAGGGATTGACCTCCCACTGGCACAAAGGAAATTTGAGGGGCAGTGGACATGTTATAAAACTGAATTGGGGATAATGGTTGTATAACTGTATAAATTTATTATAGATCATTGAATTAAAATTATAAAATTCACTTGGAATGAGTGAGCCTATCTAAATTAAACCTCAAATCTATAAAAAAATGCAGTTAAAATAAATGTACAATATCCTGAAAAAGAAAATTGCTCTAGAGGTCAGTTATTTAGCAGATTCCATTTATTTTTGTGTTTTTTTCCTCTCTAATCTATAATCCTAGGATAAAAGCAAGAGAAATTAAGTCCAGTTCCTCTCCTAATGGGCCAGGGAAGTTAGGTGATCATAAAAGTGTTGATCTTACTTTTCTTTTCCTCTTTTAGGAACTCTTAGGAAAGAATATTGTAGAATTCTGTCATCCTGAAGATCAGCAGCTTCTAAGAGACAGCTTCCAACAGGTAGCTTTTTTTCCTGGTTTGAATTAGAGTAATATTTTTGTCTATTATTACATTCATCCAACAAATACTTATTGAGTACTGATTAATTGAGCACTATGGCAGGCCTTGCAGTTTTACACTCTTGATTACTTAACTTGTATTTTTAAGAAACAGAAAGGACCAGTACTTGGAAATTATGGATAATGTAATGTTCAAGGTGTTTTTGTTTGGCTTTGGCTACTCAGTGTCCTATATCAAAGTGGCCATCTTTGAAGTATTTAAAGTATTCTTCACTTAACCGAACAGTGGGCAGTAGTTGAAAAATTCATTTCACAGTTCTTCTATAGATAAGTAAGAGTTAATTCTTAATTGTAAGCTAACTCTTAATTGTACTTTTTAGGCCCTAGATTCTGAAAACATCTGGTGAATTCTAATTTCAGGACAGACTTGGCTTTAGATGGTACTCTTACTTTATATTAGATAGGTTAATTTCCCTCTTTAAGCCTCACTAGTGCTTTTACTGGTTTTCCCTGGTAGCTCAGCAGGTGAAGAATCCACCTGCAATGCAGGAGACCCCAGTTCGATTCCTGGGTCAGGAAGATCCCCTGGAGTAGGGATAAACTACCCACTCCAGTATTCTTGGTCTTCCTTTGTGGTTCAGTCATTAAAGAATGCACCTGCAGTGCGGGAGACCTGGGTTTGATCCCTGGAAGAGGGCATGGCAATCCACTCTAGTATTCTTGCCTGGAGAATTCCCATAGAGGAGCCTGGTGGGCTGCAATCCATGAGGTCTCAAAGAGTCGAACATGACTAAGCACAGCACAGCATAGTATTTTTACTGATACAGTAGGCATATAAGATAAAGCATTTAAAACACATAGCCCAACTTCTAGAGGAAATCAGACAATGGCAGTAAAAAGTCTGTCTCCTGATTTTTCAGCATCACTTGTTTTATCCATGCAGAAGGATCACATTGCATTATATGTGCAGTCTTAGAAAAGCTATTCTGACTTCTGCTGAAACTGTTCAAAGCTAAGGACATGGACTTCTGGCAGTGTGAGAAGATATTGTACAGTATGTTTTAAATCCATGAAATTCATAATTCTGACACTTTTGGCCACAGAGTACCTACCATTTTATCACTTGTAGAAAAATGTTTATCCCAAAGCAATAGGTGATTCAGACACACTTGGATCTCAAGGTTTTTATTCTGACATCAGTTGCTGCTGTGATACTAGAGTACTAAGCAAAGGTACTTTTTACTGTGCAGGCTAGTTGCTGCTTACTAATTGCTGATTTCTAGATTTTGATATTTCTTAAGTCTAGATGGATTTATATTCCTTTTTGCTTCTCAGTACATAAATTTAGTTACTATTTCTAATTAAGCTTGTTTTCCTTGTTTTCTTCCCATTTTGGTTCTTGCTGTACTTTGTTTCACATTTGATTTTTTAAAGTTTTATTTATATATTTAAAATATACCATTTTATTATTGTTAAGTGAAATATATCCCATTTTCTGTTGTAATTGTTTCTCAGTCAAACTGTAATATCAGCAGTTACTGCCACTCTTCTGTCAACTTAAACACAAATGTTATCACTTAACTTTTGGTTAAAAAGCAATTTATAGTGTAGGTATTTTGGAGTACTGAACTTATACTCTGTTGGTGTAGATACATACAGCAATAATCAGGTTTCAAATCCAGTACTTGGTTTGTATACAAATGTAGTATTTATTGTGTATATATTATTCAGTGAGCACATGTAAGTGTTAAAGATTACTTAACAGTTGTTCATATTACATTTTTTAGATGTTAAGTAAACTTGTTCTTTAAAAAAAAAACACATAGCCTAGTGCTTGGCATACAGTAAATACAAAACAAATGTTAGCTTCTAATATTTTTATTATAAAGGAAGGGGATTCAAAAGATTATTTTCTATTCTATGAGATCAGAAATGAAAATAATAAAAAATTACTTTCTTTTAAAAAGCAAAATAAAACTAAAGCCATTTTAGTTTTGTTTATAGAAACCTTCATGGGTGCTGTGAAAATAGAAATTCTCAGGCATAGTGGTAAAAACTAGGATTGAGGGGCAGCATGTAGTCTATGTTCAATGTCATTAAACTTAAATTTTTAGTAAATTTGCTAGATCAGTGTGTCTTTAAGGGACTTTCCAAAGGAAGTGGGGAAACATAGTCTTTTCCCTCCTGGAAATAATTGTTACTCCTGTTTGACATTGGTGAAAGTGGTCAGATAGCTTAGGACTCTAAGAAGAAACATGATAAATATACCTCCTTATTATTTAGTCGCTTAATAATGTTTCACTCCCCACGTTGTTTTGTTAGTAACATTGCAAGATACTGTTATTTCAAGGACAGTGACACAAGAATCCTAGGATTGTACATGTCTAAAGAAAATTTTTTGCGAGTTTGAACTGATGGCATGAAAACTTTTTCAGGTGGTGAAGTTAAAAGGCCAGGTGCTGTCTGTCATGTTCCGGTTTCGGTCTAAGAACCGAGAATGGCTCTGGATGAGAACCAGCTCTTTTACTTTCCAGAACCCTTACTCAGATGAAATTGAGTACATCATCTGTACCAACACCAATGTGAAGTATGTACCTTAAAGAACTTTTCCAGTGTTGGAATTTCTCATGGGCCAAGTCTGCTTGGCTACTACCTCTTCTACTTTTCTAGTAGTAAATATCATTAGTTCTGCATCTGCCAACTTCTTAGAATTTGGGGTAGTTCATCCAGATAGAATAAAAAAATTTTTAATTTTTTGTTGGAATATAGTTGATTTACACTAGTAGAGTAAAAGTTTAGCAAACACTAACTTAGAGACTAGATTCTGACATGTGAAGAGTTTGGTCAGTTGACCTTTGAACATGAATTTGAACTGCAATGGTCCACTTATACACAGAATTTTTTCAATAATAAATAATACAGTACTACATGAACCCCATATGGAGGGCTGACTATATAAGTTATACTCAGATTTTTGACTACTTGGAGAGTTAGTGTCCCTAACCCCTGAATTGTTCAAATGTCAACTGTATTTCAATTTTGTTTCAGTCTTGTCTAGAAATAATTTTGTTTTATACATCAGTTTATTGCTCTAGTCTGGCAGAATTTTTTTTTTTTTCCTACAGCAAGTGTCTGCAAACTTTCATAAGAGACCAGATAGTAAATATTTCAGCATTGTGGAACATACAGTCTCTATTGCAGCTTCTCAATTCTGCTCTTGTAGTACAAAAACAGTCCTAGACAAATGAAATGAATAAAGATGGCTGTGTTCCAGTAAACTGTTATTTACAGAAACGGGCAGTGGACTGGATTTGGCCTGTGGACCATAGTTTGCTTTAGAGCATAGCTATATTGACTCATTTATTAGTTTCTGTTTCTCTATTCTTTGTTTTCTGTTTGAACTTTTTCTCAGTTTTGTAAGAGTTTTATTAAAATAGATTTCATATACCTACAGTTTACTTATTTAAAGGGTATAATTTTTTTAGTATGTGACAGGGCTGTGCAGGTATTTCCACACAGAAAATAGCTATTACCCTCAAAGAAATCCTGTACTAATTAACAGTATCTTCCCCAAGCCCTTTGTAACTTAATCTGTTCTGTGTGTCTCTAAATTTGCCTGGTCTAGACATTTCTTTTAAATGGAAACACATTTTTGTTTATCTGTTCACTGGATATTGAGTTGTTTACATTTTTTTGGATACTAAGAATCCTGCTGTTAACATTTGTGTACAACTTTTTGTATGGGTATGTTATTCTCTTGGGTATATACCTAGGTAGCTCAGCTGGTAAAGAATCTGCGTGCAATGCAGGAAACCCCAGTTTGGTTCCTGGGTTGGGAAGATCCTCTGGAGAAGGAATATTCTACCCACTCCAGTATTGGGCTTCCCTGGTGGTTCAGATGGTAAAGAATCCACCTGCAATGCAGGAGACCTGGGTTTAATCCTTGGGCTGGGAAGATCCCCTGGAGGGAGGGCATGGCAACTCACTCCAGTATTCTTGCCTGGAGAATCCCCACGCACAGAGGAGCCTGGTGGACTATAATCCATGGGATCGCAAAGAGTGGAAGATGATTGAGCGACTAAACACAGCCCAGAATTGCTGGGTCACATGGTAACTCTATGCTTAATCTTTTGAGAAACTCCCAAACCGTTTTCCAAAGCTGCTGTACCAGTTTGCATTCTCAGCAGCAGTGCTGTACTTTTCTCATCAGCAGTGTATGAGGAGTTCAGCCTCCCCACATTCTTGCTGTCTTTTTTTATTGTACCCATCCTAGTGGGTGTCAGTTGTCAAGGTACTTCTTTTCCATTTAATCTTTCTATGTAGAATTGGCCTTGAACCCACTTCTGAGGATCTGATTAGAGATAATTATCAAGTGTGAATAATATCTGGTGACAACTGAGTCTCTGTATTCTCTAATTCAACTTTTAGGGCTCATAAAGTTTAATTTTTTGTTAATTAATTTAGTATAACAGTGGATTCAGTTAGAAATTTATATTAACTTAGGACCCAAGTCATTATAGTTGTTTTATTTTTTTTGCATCTTTATATTTCTGAACAACAGCTGTTTTGTGTTTCTCTTTTGCTTAAATTTTGAAATGTTTAAGTCTTTTTAAGAAGTTGTTTCTGGAAATAATGCCTTTTCCCATTTTTGCATACTACAGTTTTTCCTACTGTAGTTAGTTTTAATTCTTAATATTTTATTTTGTAATTAATATTCTTTGTAGAAAATTTGGAAAGTATTGAAAATAGTAAAGAGAAGGAAAAAAATTCTCACCATCAAGAAATAGTCTTTGTTAATGTTTCAGTGTGTACTTTCCTCAGTTTTTTCAGTTACGCTTTTTTTAAACACAATATATGGATATGCAATATATACATACACACATCCACAACTGCTATGTATTGAATACCTGGAAGGAGTTAGAGCCCAAACAGGATGAACTCTTGGCTATAGGACATAAGTTTCTATTTGTATCATGTTGTTTATAGTACAAATTATTTGCTGAATCTGAGATTACAGGTATCATAGGGATTGGGCTTTAAAGTGGAATTTATCAATGATTACCCCATGTCCCAGTGAATCTGTAGTATCTTTTATACAAACAGTCAGATACTTTTTTTTGTCTTTGTTGCCTCTACTCTTCATTTTCCCAGAAACTCTAGCCAGGAACCACGGCCTTCACTGTCCAACACGATCCAGAGGCCACAGCTAGGTCCCACAGCTAATTTATCCCTGGAGATGGGTTCAGGGCAGCTGGCACCAAGGTGAGAAATGGTGGAACAATTATTTATTGAGCAGTGACTAGCCTGGCGAGTGGCAGTCTACAGTCACACTTTTTTGTTTGTTTTAAGCCCTTTCCCCAGATACTTTTTAAAATAACTTTTTTTTTTTTCCTATTTTTCTTTTTACTTGCCTTTAACATGTAGGCAGCAGCAGCAGCAAACAGAATTGGATGTGGTACCAGGAAGAGATGGACTAACCAGCTACAATCATTCCCAGGTTAGTATGTCGTCTTTAAAGGATGGTGGAACATTTCTTTAAGAAGTGTCCCCCTAGAGCCAGTTAAAGTGTATGTGTATCTTTATATGAATTTTTGGATTATTGAATTGTCATGTTAAACCTTCATGGTTATTTTTTTTTCTTCATGGTTATTTTTATCATTACATTCCACAGGTTTCTGTTCAGCCTGTGACAACCACAGGGCCAGAACACAGCAAGCCCCTTGAGAAGTCAGAGAGTCTGTTTGCCCAAGATAGAGATCCAAGATTTTCAGAAATCTACTCCAACATCAGTACGGGTATGTTTTTTCCTTATTCTCATTTTGATCACTTATTGATGGGCCTGCAGCTGCCCAGTCAGTAGCCTCCCAGTATATTTCCACTTAACCCTAATACCTCGTGAATAAATAGGAACTTGCTGAACTAATATACTGCAGCCCCTTGACTGGCCCTCCCCCAACTCCTTTTGGTCCACAGATCAGAGTAAAGGCATCTCCTCCAGCACTGTCCCTGCCACCCAACAGCTATTCTCCCAGGGCAACACATTCCCTCCTACCCCCCGGCCGGCAGAGAATTTCAGGTGAGCCCCATATGTGTGTGCTGCTTTACAGGGCAACTGAGGGATTCAGTTACTGAATCCAGGTTTTATTCTTCCCTAGCTTTCTCTGGTTATTTCAGACAAAGCAGTGGAACTTATTGGCCTAAGATGAGACAAGCTTGCTTTTCTTCCTCCTTTTTCTTTGCACCTGTCCTGCTGCCATGTTCTAGGTTCCATCTCTGTGTGTCCTGATCAGTGTGTGACTATCAGTCTTTTTTGTCTTTTCCAGATTCTGTTATCAGGTTTTCCTTAACCCCCAGGGAGTTGAGGGAATCTAGAGATAGCACTAGATTGTCCTGTGATTCCTAGATTCTGTGATAAATGCACCTTTTTCATCCTTACCTCACTATTTGTTCACTCCTAGAAATAGTGGTCTGGCCCCTCCTGTAACCATTGTCCAGCCATCAACTTCCGCAGGGCAGATGTTGGCCCAGATTTCCCGCCACTCCAATCCTACCCAGGGAGCAGCCCCAGCTTGGACCCCTAGCACCCGCCCAGGCTTCTCTGCCCAGGTAAACCTTCTCATCTGTCTGTCCCTTGTATTTGTTGTTTGGTTGGTTGGTTAGGCTTTTTCCATATGTAAAATTATTATTGTCTATCTTAAACGTCTTCTCTTGACTGCCCTGCCATCCTCTGTCTTCCAATTTTTATCTTATTGGGAGCAGGAATTGTGTTGAAAAATCCTCATATAATATATATATGTATATATATATTAAGGCTAAAGCTAATATCCTTTTATATGTTGCTATGTACTTATATTTGCATAAGTAATATTTTAAATAAAGCCAAAATCAGAAATAAACTCTAGAATTATTATATGTGGTATAACCTTATTGTATAAAAAAATACATAGGAAAATGAAAACTGGAAGAAATTATCCAAAAATGTTAACCATGTGTCTTTGGTGGTAGGATTATGGATGATTATTTCCTTTTTATTTTCCTTCATTTTGAAGATATCCCATGGTGCATATGCATTACTATTATAGTAAGGAAAATGTTTAGTTACCAAAAAAAAAAAAAAAAAAGATATCATTAGAAACAAACAAATGTGGTACAGATTGAATAATAAAATTATGCAAAGTGTGTTTTTCTCTTTATGTAAGTGCTATGCTATTATGCCTCTAGTTTTTGTATAGTTTTACAGTTTATAAAATGCTTTCATTCATGCCATTTTCATTTACTTCTCAACTCTAAATGTGTATACTTTTACTAATTGCATAGTTCTTTGCTTTTTAACTTTATCACAAGTGCCTAAAAATAGTGTCAAAGGAAACTGGGAGTTAATTGGAAGAAATGTGCAATGGGAAATAAGTAATGAGGTTGGCTCCGAAGAATCCAATGATTGACAGAGGGTTAACTCTCATAGCAATGGTCTGTGCAATAATGTTAATGTTCTGTTTGCTCTCTACCCCTTTCTTTTAGCAAGTGGCTACCCAGGCTACAGCTAAGACTCGTTCTTCCCAATTTGGTGTAGGCAGCTTTCAGACTCCATCTTCTTTCAGCCCCATGTCCCTTCCTGGTGCTTCCACTGCGTCACCTGGTGCAGCTGCCTATCCTAGTCTCACCAATCGTGGATCCAACTTTGGTGAGTTCACACCAGAGTCAGGGTAACAGGAAAATCACAACACAAAGGAGACAGGATTTAGTGGTTAAAATAGTTTGCTTTTGTCCTGGCAGTACTGACCGAATTATAGGGAAATGCATGGTGACAGTCCTTTTGGAATTGAAAACCTACCCGCGTGAAAAGGACTTTATTAGCATGTGTAACAAAAAGCATGTAAAGTATTATAAATTTAATAATATGCACACTTACTATGAATAAGCAAAGGATTCTTTAGAAAGGATTCTACCTAGAGAAGAAAAATAAATTTTGGACTAGGGTTTGAAATAGAAAGGACATAAGGTATCTCAGTAAAATTAATGTCTTGCGTGTGGTTATGTGCTAGTTTCTCCTCTCTAGTAGAGTTAGCAGATTGAAGTTTTTATATTTCCTTGCTATATTTCTAGCTCCTGAGACTGGACAAACTGCAGGGCAATTCCAGACACGGACAGCAGAGGGTGTGGGTGTCTGGCCACAGTGGCAGGGCCAGCAGTCGCATCATCGTTCAAGTTCTAATGAGCAACATGTTCAACAACCATCAGCACAGCAACCTGGCCAGCCCGAGGTCTTCCAGGTAAAAGGGTCTAAAGACTTTAGAAAACCAGAAACTGGGAGAGAAAGAGTCAGAGGGGAGAGACAGAGAAGAAAGCATGCATGGATTGAGGTTAGTAAGTGGGAGAAGAGAAGAGTCGGACACATGAAAATAGATGTCATTAATTGAAAAGATTGTGAACTTAGTGTGCTGCACTAGACCGTCATTAGTGATGTGCAGCACCATGCAAAGACATGAAAGAAAGTAATTTTGGTCCATTCACGGAGAACCATGTGCCCATTTGATGATAGTAGTTTAGGTATAAAAATACTGAATACAGCTATAAGGGTCTATTTACATAAATCCTAAGGGGACTGCAGTAGTTAATAATCTCAGGCGGGATAAAGGAGGAGCTTAGTTTAAAACACAAATTGGAAGAAGGCAAAACAAGGTTTCGGTGGAAAACAAATAGGATAAGAGATACTCCATAAATGTCCAGAGGGGATTTTATGAAATATGACAAGGAGATTTTTCTCCCATTGAGAATATTGAGGACTAGAAAAGAGGGAGAATGTGGAACTGTATGGGGAAGGCAGAGAAAGAAGTAGGAAAATAGATTGTCATCTAAAGAAGTTAGAGTTGCTGGCAGTAAAGAAGGCTAAGAGAACTCAGCACAGCAAAAACTCTGGGGCCAGGGATGATAGTTCAGGGGGATGTTGGGAAGGAGCTCAATACATGGGAAGGATCAAGGTGTGTGACCCAAGCTTATTCTTTTTCTCTTATTAGGAGATGCTGTCCATGCTGGGAGACCAGAGCAACAGTTACAACAATGAAGAATTTCCTGACCTAACTATGTTTCCCTCCTTTTCAGAATAGAACTATTGGGGTGAGGATAAAGGGTGGGGGAGAAAAAAAATCACCATTTGTTTTTAAAAAAGCAAATCTTTCTGTAAACAGAATAAAAGTTCCTCTCCCTTCCCTTCCCTCACCCCTGATGTATAACCCCTTTCCCTTCTGACCTTTCCCTTGTCTTCCTGCATCTCTGAGATAACATTTATAGAAGAAATGGAGTGACTCCTCAACGCTTTGGGGACCCTTTGAAAAATTGAGGCTGGGTTAGGTTAAGAATGTCTTTCCTTATGTCTCCTGACCAGAAATTTATGCAAAAATGATTTGTGCTGGGTCAAGGGGCAGGTTAGAAAACACTCACTATCTCCTTTGGATACTATGGCTTATTTTTGGAAAGAAATTCTGAGTAAGGTGAGAGAGGAGAAACGTCCTCAATGTTTGACGACCATGAAGCATGGTAGGTATACATGGGGTTTTCAGAAGTGAGTATAGGCGCTTTCTGCTGCCTGTGAGCAATTCCTCTGGAATGAAATATGAGTAAGGAAATGAGAAAGAGAATGTGTGTGCGTGCACATGCATGTGCACGTGTGTGTGTATGTGAGTGTGCACATTTGTTTCTATGTTTGTTTCTTTCTCCCTATTAGGGAGTTATGCAAAATTTGTCCCAGATTTTATCTTTGTCTTTCTCTGTGTTTTTCAAAGAGTCCTAAAGAGTTGAATCTTCCAATTAGTTTCCACTTAGTATTGCAGCCAAAGAGTATTTAAGTAAATGTCTTTGCTGCGCTTATTATATCTGTGCCCAGCCACTATGCAACTGTAAGCAAGTATATGAAGTCTTCTATTTATATGGTTGGTCTCTCATTGAACGTATATAGTGATAAAGCTGGGTCATTCCTGCTTTTGGTGCTCTCACCTTGAATGGAACATCTGCATTACAGAAGTAGGCTGGCAAGGTGAACATGTTCAGAACCCCCTACTTGTCCATAAGGATGATGCTGCATTTTTCTGTCAGAATCACATATGATGTGTGTTCTCTAGAGGTTATGTCTGCATGGAAACTCAACTTCTTGGATTAGCAGTCCCAGTGAATATCCTCACTGCTGGAATTTAAACCAAATATCAAGCCTTTCTTGCAAAGTAACCTCTTTCATCCCATACTCAAAAGTATCCAGTCTGCAAGAACTAAAATTTAGGTCTCTTCTGGACCTATAGTTCTTTCCTCTTTGCTCCCTCTCCAATCTTGAGACTGGATTTTGCTTTATAGTACAAGTGTAATAAATCCATGTGATAGATGGGACCTGGACTCCCATCCCGACAGGGTCACTTAATAATTAACTATAGCCATATAAATGCAGATACAGGTTAGTACTCTCACTCTTTACCTTCCTCAGGTAACCGTCATGTGTATCAGCCTTTTTTGTTGTTGTTCTCTTGTTTGGCTCAGGCCAGTATCTTAAGTGCAAGACTGAATTGACAAGGAGAAGACATCCTAACTGTAGCCATAGGGGACTGAGGCGCTTGGGTGGCCTTGGAGCGGGCTGAGAGAATGTCGTGAGATTTCCCTCCCTTTTGTCTCCAGTCTGGTGCCAGGTAGTGAAGTGGAAAAGGAGACAGTTTATTTTTTTATTCTATGTGCACACATGCAATATACATATATATATTTATAGCACACTTTAAGAAACCAAAAAGTTGAGTTTCCAATGAAATCCTTGTTTTTTTAATAATCAACTGTTTTTAAATGTGATCAGGACTATAATATTGTACAGTTATTATTGGGCTTTGGGAGAAGGGGAGGGGTGGAGAAGATGCTCTGGGGGGTTTTGTTTCTGCTTTTCCTTCAGGGTTTTATTTTTGATTTTTTTTTTTTTTTTCTTGTTGGCCATTTCTGTACTGCTGGCATCTGTGCTGAGCCTTACAGTGGCAAAAATAATGACATGTAGCAAAGATTTTAAAACAAAATATTTTTTCCTTTTGTAAACTTCCTTGTGTTGTGTGATCTTAATTGCGGCCTTATTATTCCATCCCAGCTCAAAAACAACAAACACCCACAACCAGTTGAATCCATAACTTGTGCTTCAAAGACACAAACATGAAGCACAGTGTGTCTATAATTTCAGGAGTCAGAAATCATAGGGCTCTGATCAGTCAGCATTTCTTAGTTGTCCTCCTGATCCTGACTCACTTGGAGTAAAATCATAAGGGATGTCTGACCATGGGATCGGGGATAGGGGATTGCCCAAGTCCTTGGGAAAGGGGGATAAATTGGGACTTGAGAGCAATAGTGCACTTCTGGATCTAAAGGAATCAGGGATAGGGAAATTTAAACTGTTTAGGTCTAGACGTCATTTCCCTCTAGGATAATATGTTTCATTAAGAAAGTAAACCCATAAGCATAAACCTGTTTTCTTGAGGGTCTATGTATGTAACCCAGCTAGAAACTGAAGCTGGATCCCATGTATTATTCTTTTTGTTCCAAGGACCCTCTTTTCCTCTCCCCGCCCCCCGCCCCCCCCACACATTTGTTTATGGAAGAAAATGTTTGGGGATGTGGTTTAGGGACTGACCTAGATTCTCATGATCTGTCACATGCCTGGATATTGAGGGAAGCATTTGGAGAAGCTCATATGACTGGCCCTAGATTGGGGATTTTAATAATTGAGACAGATAATGTTCATCAGGCTTTGGCAGTGAAGAAGTCACAAGTGAATTTGTCAGTGCTTATGGCATTGATTCAAGCACTGTCATAACCAGGAGTACTGTTTCTGGTTACTTTAGGAACTGGTTTCATACGGACTTTCTGGGCATATCCTTCCTCAGCAAAATCATGTTAGTCTGGAAAAGCTATTACCCTGCCTGAAAGCAATGACAACTTTCAGGCAACAGGTCTATAAAATACAAATGATTTTGGAGCCTGTGACTTCCCTAAGATACTTTTTTCTAGCTTTTTGTCTTCATTTCCTCATCTGTGATGTGAGGGTCAGACACAAATTTTAAAACAGGTTTCAAAGTTGGAGAAATGAATAATAACAGGAAAGGGGCCAGAAAAGAGATAATCCCCTAGTGTAACAAATAATATATGCTTGTCCATCCACCAAAGAGAAGGTAAGCCCCAACTTGGGTAATAATGTACTGAGGTCTTTTTTGTCTGTCTCAAAGGCAGGCAGCCATGTGAAACTAAATACCTAACTCTCTGCCCTGCCACACATGCTCCACATGCGCACAGAGAAAGGAGGCAAATCTGCTGCCTACTTCCCTCCTCCCTAACCCCCCTCTCTCAGCATTTCTATCTCCACTGCCCTCCCCATCCAAATTTTCCAGCCAGCAGCCAGAGCTGACTTCCGCAATCCTGGTGGAATAAATCCAGCACCCCTAGTCATCCGGCCACATTATCCACACTTCTCTGCTGAGACGAGCCCAGAGAACAGATCCCCATCAACAGGTAACATTTTCAGCTTCCTGGATCTTTTAACCTCTCATTCCTGTCAGTTCTCCATTTTTAGGAATATTAGGAACATAGTGACTTGTAGATCAAAATGAACTTTATAGGCTGTCTGGATGAAAACAGTGATGCCCTCCTTTGGCTATTTCCTGGCTGAGTAAAATCTGCCTGGAAACCTTTAGGACTCCTTTTAAAGTTTATATGTATGTATACGTGGTTGTTAGTGAAAGCAAAGAATATAAGGCCTTTTTTACCCATCCCTCAAAGTGTGGCCTCAGGGTTTGTTTGGTTTTTTTTTTTTTTTTTGGTTGGTGGGGAGGCAAAGGTACTAAAAGGGTTAAGTTACTAGCAGGGAGGAGGAGTGCAGAAGGGTGGTAGCTCAGTAAGGTCTTCCTACTCTTGAGAATCTCAAAAGCCCTGGACACTCCACATATTAAATGTCCTGCTGGACATTTTGCCAATGTGCAAAAATTACACAAAAAATAGACAAGTTTAAAAATCATGCAAGCTGTATGACTTGCCGCAGACTAAACTTGCTCTTAAAATGGAGGACGTGATTAGCAAGACACTACAAGAAGGGAACGTAGCTAGAGTAAACTTATGAAAAGCTGTGCAACTAATAATCAAACAACATTGCTTTTCTGTCTTATCTTCTAACACTTGTTTCTGAGGCTTTTTTGTCCTGTGAGGCAGTCCCAGAGGTTATGTGGGTTTTTTGGTCAGGGAAAAAAAAAAAAGCTTTCCTCCCACAGCAGCTGGTTGAAATTAGTTTCCTGCCTAAGGATGGAGCAGGAAGAGAAAGGAGGAAGTGCATAAGAACGCTGAGGGGATATCTCATAGAGAATAGGTAATGCTGTCAACTTTTCCCTTGTCCCCTGCTGGCAAGATTAGGAGCAAAATCAAAATTTAGGCAAGGAACAGAAGAATACCTTGAAGAAATGATCAGGAAGCAAAGACAGCTCTCCTTTGTGTATTCTCCAATCCCATTCATCTTACCCTACACCTGTCCATCTCCTCCGAGTCTCCTGGAGACACTGGAGCAGACAGGTGTTGCTCGCATCCTGATTGTCCATTTTCTTCCCCATTTCTGGTTATCTGTTCAAGGTGTGTGTGTGTGTAATCTCCCAGAATACTTGGGACCAGATGTATCAGCATCACAACCAAACCCAGACCCCCTCCCCCACCTATCATTGTTTTATCATATGGAAATCACTCTCAATCTTTGTCTGCCTTCCTCATAAAGCCTAGTTTTCCTCTGCCTCATGGTCCAGAGGAAGGGGCTCCTAACTTTGGGTTCAGGAACTCCCCAGGATTATTGTATGCGTATTCATTTTTCTGGCAAGAGGAATTAATAGTGGGTTGCAATTTTTTAGCTTGTCATGTGAGTCTGTGATTCCCAAAGATTAAGAACCACCTGTCTGAGCATATGGTTCCAGCTGTTTCCTCATCCCAAGTCATGTTAGGAACCTCTGGACAACCAGAAGAGTCTCCCCCAATTATGGCTTCCCAGGTGGTGGTAGTGGTAAAGAACTTAATTGCCAATGCAAGAGGTATAAGAGACTTGGGTCCCATCCCTGAGTTAGGAAGG